TTTGAGTGAACATACTGAACGAATCACTTCCTCAAGTGATTCGTTCGTTTCTCACTTCAGTTGAGCTGAAGTGAGAAACACACTGAACTTCACTCTCTGGAATCATTTTTGTCGAACAAAACTACCTTTTTATTTTTCACTGCTAAATTTCCACCAGATAGAAACACGTCATGGAACAGTCGTGCATTAAACCTGCAGCATCCTGTTTGTGAGGGAACAGTGCATGTCCAGTGTGAATTCTTCTAAACGGTCAGTGAACGAATCTCTCACTGACCAAATATCAGACCACAGGACACTTCAAACATCACGACTTATAAACAAGTTCATTTTTACAAAAACAACACAGACAAACACTCTTGTCTCCCGGTCTCAGCTGTGTGTCAGTTCAGGAGGTCGGAGATGCAGGCTCCTCCCCCCGCCAAGCCCTGAATGATTCGGTGATTCAGTGAACGAATCTTTTAAACGAATCCTTTTAGTGAACTGATTCTAGTGATTCAGTTCATCTAAAAGAAGTGCTGTGCCCATCAGTAATCACCGACCACTTCCATCATCAACATGTTAAAAAACGTCGTTGTTGTTGAGAAGAATCTCAGATTATAACTGATTTTAATGACATTTGACATTCTGACATTTTCAGACTCGTCTAAAAAACGAACAAAAACAAACTCAGCCTCATTTTTCAGGCTGTAAACGATAATTTCTCGCCCACTCCAGTTCAGACTTCCTCATTTCTCCTGATAGGACATCAGATCTGTGACTAATTCCTGTTATTTTGAGATTGAGCAAAATCGATGCAGCTTTTATTACCTGTGGTGACAAAAACGGAGAATAAGGTGCCTTCAGAGAGAGAGAGAGAGAGAGAGAGAGAGAGATAATGTTAGGAAAAGACTACCTGTGAATTCAAGGACCATTCATGATTCAAATCAGTGTTTTATCGATTGATTGATTGATTGATTGATTGATTGATTGATTGTACCTATTCTGCATAACAAACTCAAAGCCATGATGTTTTCAAAGCTGGCTGAAGGACTGAGCCCCTCGTCATCTTCCTCATCCAACAAAGACACAGAAGAACCTGGAAACTGGACCTAAATGCATCTTGAAGGACTCAAAAACGTCACAGACCACTCAGTCAAAGACATGATTTCACGTTTGCACCAGGAGGAAGGTGAACTTTCTTGTTCTCTCCATCTCATCACACTCACAGGATGTCAGGGCAGGAGGACGGCTGGTAGAAAGTTCTCCACCTGTTCGGATCATTTTTACCAGCTCATTTGTACTTTTTCACTCGACACAAACCTCTCAGCGCTGGCTGCTTCCTCGTCAAAGAGCTGCTGGTTCCTTCAGCCTCATCCACACACATGTTTACCAGCGTTGGTGGATAACGGGAGAGTTCCTCTGATGATCTGAATGCAAACATTACTGACACGTTTTTAGGTTCCCTTTGATTACACGAATGCGCCGACTGTAGATATTACCTGTACAGTGTGTTCTCTTTTGGACGGGGGCCAGCAGCATCGATCTGTAACTACGGTTCACACTCGCTTGAATTAACTCGACTGTACGCTCTAAAAACCAAACCTTTATCAGGGTTCTTCAGGCTGTTTTTAGCACCTTAGGGCTCCTGCCTTGGAAAAACGAAACAATAAAACTCCCTCCAGTGTTTTTTGTAGAAGCCCTTTATGTTTTGTGGAAACACCGTCATGGTTGATGATCGTTTGACGGCGTTCCTCAGGGAACCACCTTGGGTCCCCTCTTGTTTTCGATCTGAAGAACCCCTTTGACTTTTTAGAGTGTGCTTCTGATATTATTATCAATATTGTTGTGTGACAAGCTTCTACTAACAAAGCGTACTCCTTGGGCTGTTTTGTACTTTTAGCATTTTTATTTTTGTTATGTGCTTACGACTGTGAGATGTTTGATTTCTTTGCTTTCTGATTTGGGCATTGTTCGAAAGTACTGAAACCCGTTAAATTTTAATATGTTTACAACAAAACCGAGATTTTTCTGTGACTAACATCCAACTAACGTTTTCTGATACTTTTTAACACTGACAGCGATATTTCTATCCACTCACTCCTGCAGGCTTGCGCAATCACACTCCCTGCACACTCGGAATCATCACGAAGCCTCTCGCCAAACGTTTCATCAAATCGAGCGACACTTGCGCTATTCGTACAAACGGAGAAAACACGTCGAGCTGCTAGTAACACTGGTCATACAGTCACACTAGGTCTAATCCCCAAACGATCGAGGAATAGCTGAACAAAGTCGTCGAGGAGCTCTGGATCAAACCTACCTCGTAAGGGATTACACAACATTTCGCCGAGTCCCACTGCGTGCCTGAGCTTCATCAAGCACATCCTCAGCAAAGATCCCATTTTAGAGCTCCATACCCTTTCTTTTGCATGTTTGAAACCACAAACTGTGTGTACTTGACATTACTGATCATTGTTAGGTGACAAATCCTCCTGCAGACTTTGGTTTCAGTGTCGGTGTTATTATTAATCCTCAACAACGTCCACACTGTCCACGGACCTTTGGGGTCAAATTAGAAGACGAAGTTTGGCTTCAGAGCAGAGAGGCGTCAGCATACTCCCAACTAACAACTTCTCATAAATGTCATATAAATTGGGAAATCCTCCAACGCACATGTGAGATATTTCTCCACCAGTTTTAAAAATTTCTCCGACTGTTTTGGACCAAAATTCAGAATTACGAATGATTGCATCCTAAATAATGTTTTTCTTCTAGTCTTTGCTGCCAACAAACAAGATCATCTGTTACTGAAACCACAGGCTGTCTGCAGGTAGGAGGTCATTCTTCACTGTACAGGAGTAATGTCCAGTATATGTGGTTTGAGAACATGCAGGAGACTCCGGTACGGCTCTTTTAAAGCTCAATTCAGTTGGTTTTTTTCTGCCCGGGTCTGCTCTCCACTATCGGTTTGCATGTGGTATTTATTACAGTATCTGCACTGAATGAAACTGTATTATAGACATGAATGTACATAACCATCGTTCTATGAAAAATAACAATGCGAGTACTCACTTTGCTCGGCAGCGAGCAGTTTGTCTTTGACTGAGTTTACACGAAGGAACAAAAGATCTGGTTTTTAAGGAGTCTAGGAGAAAGATCTGGTCTGACTGCTGCAGGAAAAACATTTATAAAAATAAGAATAAATCAATAAACCACATCAGATCAGGTTCAGGAACGGTTCAGACGCTGGATCCTTCTGTTCCTGTGTAAAGCCAGTCTGTGTTGTGTGTATCTAACCGAGAGCGTCAGGTCGGAGGTCTACGTCGTGAGGAAAGACGACACGGACCGTTTGGTGGAGAAAACATATTTCTTGTTTATAATGTAGAGCAAAGAGAGACTGCAATAGTCCTTGTAAAATTGTATGAGTACAGTGTCAAATATGTGTCAACAGAGACGACATTATTTTAAAAATTATGTATGGAAAATTTTAGCTGTGTATATAAATATATATTACTTGTACTTTGTTTTTGAAATTGCAGAGATGGAAAAGTGGAAATATTTATTGCTCTAAAGATATAAAAAATCTGTTCATGTTGATGGAAACACGTGTCCTCTTTCTTTGGAGGGTTGGTGCATGTTTGACAAACACGATAAAAGTCACATTATACCTGCTCTGATGAAGGTTTATTCCTTCAAAGGTGAATTAGTTTACAGAAAATGACGCTGAATGATCTCTGATGGAGCTGCTCTCAGAGATCCTGCTAATAAGGTCCCTAACCCTTTATTCACGACAACTTTACTCTCCTAATATCATGACTCTGACTTTATTACAACCTTCACATGTTTACTTTATTACTGTACAGTTTAACTCAAATAATATTGATAATATTGATATTGTATTCAGTATAAATAATATAATTAATTATCATTAATAATCTTGGAAATCTTTTTCATATTGATAGAAACTTCAAGACAACTTTTTAAGTTTAACCTTCACCTATCTCTGCCAGGTGTCTCATCTAGTCTTCTATATTTTTTCATATTCAATGATACGGTGGCTGAGAAACGAAGCCTGCTGCAAAAAAAAAAAAAGAAGTCACAACAGAAGTTACTGATGCAAAGAAAAACTGAAGCCCACTGCAAATAAAAAAAGAAACGGTGCAGACAAAAAAGCCACAACAGAAGTATAAATAAAAAGTTATTTACTGTGAAAATAAATGGATGCAGATAAAGGAGCCACAATGGAACCAACCGGGGACCAATAATGATGATGCACCGGTGTTTTATGATCTAGACACAGAAGATGACGGAGAGAAGACGAACAAAGAAGTAAATGGAAATTTTATTGTTTAATTTAAGTAAGCAGTAAGTAAGTTTTTTAAAATTCTTTATTTATTTTACATAACCAAATCTTTTGCATCATTAACTTCCACTGTGGCTTTTTTTTTTCATCTGCACTGCCTCTCTGTTTATTTGCAGCAAACTTTGGTTTCTTTTTTTTTATCAGTAACTTCTGTTGTGGCTCCTTTTTTTGCGTTTTTTTTTTTTTTTTTTTTTTTTTTTTTGCAGCAGTGGCTGTTCTTGGCCACCGTACAATTTAATACCAAATAAAAAAAGGAGCCACAACAGAAGTTAAAAAAAAAACACTATAAAGAATCAGTGTGTGAGCCTTAAAAAACCTTCATGGAATAGTTCGTAATTCTGACATAAAATGTAGCTAATAATTTCAAAGTTTTTAATCATTTGTAAGAAAAAGAGTGAGGGAATAGCACACCAAAACAATAAATTAAGAACACCAGCTGGACAGAGATTGTTGTCAGGTGAATCCAGATTAGTGCATTTACGTTTTTACGTGTTTACGGTTTTGTATCAGACACATATGTACGTTTATTTTACGTGTATTTATCCCCGTAAACGTTTTTCTCACTAAATTTGAAAATTTATGACTGTAAATTATTCCTTTGATAAAAGAGAAGGTGATATAAACAAATATCCTCCATTTCTTTGTTACGATTTATTTTATTGCGCGATATATTTGATTTATTGAACCTATGACGAGTTTCCGCTTGAACCGGAAGTATACCACCTCGGTCTTATTTTAACCGTTGAACGTGTTGGCCGGCCGCTGATTCACAAAGTTCATAAATGTGGTAAGTTCCGTTTTAATTACAGCTGTAGCTTCAGAAAGTTTGAGGAAGGTTCAGTCGACGGTTCTATTTAAAGAATGTCGGACTGTCAGTGATGAAAAAACGGGCAGTAGAAACGGAGTCGAACGGCAGAGCTACACGGTGTTCTGGTTTAATGAGTGACCGTGTTAACCGGTGACCCCTTCGTTAGTGTTTGCTGAGGAACATGGCTGAAAGTCACCACCTTACACAGTTACTCTTTGAAGCGTAACACCAGCTAGCCCCTTTAACCTGTTCTTAATAAGCGGAACAGGAGTTTACTTTGACATTAGACAGATTTATAAGAACAAGAGTGAAAAGGTGTCGGTTTTAGGGTTAGCTTAGCTTCAGTAAACTCTGTTTTAAAGTTACTATGCTGCTGTGTTTGTGTTTTGGTTAGCTGTTAGCTGTTAGCTTCTCCTCAGGCCTCCTGCTGTGAGTAACAGGTCAGAGTCTCTGATTCATGATTACAGAAGACTTTAAATCTTTACAAATGAGGAAATTTTAACCTTCAAATGTATGTCTGACCGAAACCTCCACTGATCCAAAATGACCCTGACTAGAATGAAGGAGTTTTAAACTGTAAAAAATGTCTTTCATTTTGGATGAAAATGATGATTTTTATCATATTTTTGTCACCAAAAGAGTTATTTCATGTCTGATCTGTTCATTTATCACTTATTTACATTTTTTATGATAAAACAACTTTGAGAAAGGTTAAAAAAAAAAAAAGGAGGTCTACCTCCAAATATGATTCGAACACAAGAATGATTTTAGATTTTACATGTTAGTTTATTTTAATTTGTCTTTAATTTTAACACAAACTTGTTATCAAAACTTTAGCTCTCAGTGTTTCTGTTCCCTCGTGTCACACGCCCAGATAAAAACACATCCTGTCTTCTCTCTCCTCGCTGGTTTAATCTGACCTCCTTCCTCCTCTGGCTGTGAGGGTCCTCCTCTCAGGGTCACTGCATGTCCTGAACTGTTACTGGATTTACAGTCTTGGTTTCTGAAGCTCATCTTCCTCCTCTTCCTCTTCTGTTGGCCCTGTCTGTTTACGCTCTTTAGTCGTCTCATACCTGTCCGTTGCCGTAGTGATGAAGGTTGTAGGCGTGGGTAACCTTCTAGTCGACTTCTAAATATAAGGCGTCACAAACTCATGTGAGAGCTCTGTAAGACGGCGCCATCAGGCGTTCCTGATACCTGCATATGAAAGAGGAGTAGCCCTCCAGGATGATATCGATCATGTTGTACTGCAGCAGCATGGACCACATCTGCATTTGGTGTTTACAGGTGTAGGTGCCAACCGTCTGCTCTAAGATATCTGTTCTACACCTCCGTCCGTCCGTGTGGTCGTAGAAGTAAATCACTTCTGTTTTAAAGTTATAATGTGAGGATGATATCACAACACTATCATAAAAATCCACGGATGTGGAAAATAAGTCCATATTTTACAGCAGCTCGTTTATCAGGAGGTGTAAAAATGATCATATTTACCTGTGATCAGGTCATTAGGCAGCAGATACTCGGTGTTTGTTACAAGTAAAGACCAACTTTAAGTCTCAGTTCTAACTTCATCTAACTTCAGTAACAAACTGTTTGCTGTTTATCTTCACTTTATTATCGTACATAAACCTGCAGCTCATTTTCAGGTTAAAATGGTTGAAACTCAGGATGAGAATTTTCAGGGTAACTTCATATAAACTCAGTTTTATACAGATAAAACTATTTTCACCACTTTAGTATCAGAAGGATTAAAGACCCGGTTTCATTTCTCTGGTTCTGTTGAATAAAGTTCTGGTTTCTCCTCCATCAGAGCGTCTCCTCGTCTGATTCAGGATCAGCTGGTTGAACAGAGAGCGATGGCCGGTCCAGAGCTCCTGCTGGACTCCAGCATTCGGTTATGGGTCGTCCTCCCCATCGTCTTCATCACCTTCTTTGTCGGGATCATCCGACACTACGTCACTCAGCTGCTGCAGAGCGACAAGAAGGTGGACCTGGAGCAGGTTTCTGACAGGTGAGGGACGGCAGATCGGACCTGAAGGAGGTTCTTCTCTCAGGATTCAGTGGAGCTGCTGCAGACGGAGTAACCTGTGTGTGTGTGTGTGTGTGTGTGTGTGTGTGTGTGTGTGTGTGTGTGTGTGTGTGTGTGTGTGTGTGTGTGTGTTCAGCCAGGTGCTGCTGCGGAGCCGCATCCTTAGAGAGAACGGGAAGTACATTCCTCGACAGGTGAGCTCAGACTCAGTCCGTTTCCATGACACTCGAGTCGGACTGCAACTAACGATTATTTTGATAATCGATTAATCTGTCGACTATTTTAATAACTAATCGATTAATCGGATAAACAGGCTAAATTCATCAATACAGCTGTTAATAGCAATAGCATAGGTCTTTAGTTTATCATATGAGTTTATCTGCCATGAGGTGTTGAGGTCTCTGCATGTGTAGGTTACTGACTTACTGTAATCATCGGGTCTTTCTCGTCCTTATAAAAACCTGCTCTATTTCGGCGAGTGTCTGTCTTCTTCTGTAGTCAAACCGCAAGATATCAAAATCTACCCGGATACAGCAATGCTGCTTTTTGATTGGCTGTTCAGTAGATATACTTTATTTGATTGGCTTGCGCGTGGCACGCAGCTTCTGAACTCTCGGAGAAACTCAGTTGATTTCCCCCAGTCCCATAGTTGAAGAAGTGCAACTTGGTGGACATCACCGTGTTCATTTAAATGCGTGAGAAATACAATGTGTGGTGTGTGAGCGTGTGAACGAGTGGGAATGCGTGTGTCATACGCTGAATGCGTGAGACTTGAGAGCCCTGTACTCACGCATCATCGATGTACTCCCGAGCCATGCAAAACGGTCTTTGCAAATGTTGCACTGAACGCCTTCCTTTTCAGTCTTGGTGAAGTTTTCCCACACCACTGATGTTTTAGGTCGGGATTTGGGTTGGGTTGTGTCCATGTTTTTCTCAGCCGCTGCCTCGGCCATGGCTGTTTCTTTTCTGTGCGTCCTGCTGATGTTTACACGCCGGTGTCCATGGACATATATAAAGACCCGGCGAATCGATTACAGAATTTGTTGGCAACGGATTTTTTTGTCACGACGAATCGACTTTATCGATTCGTTGTTGCAGCCTTACACTTGAGAAAACCGAATTATCGCCTTATTCCGATTAAGACCAGACAACTGAAGGTCATGTAAACACCTTACCCCCGACCTCCACCTTCATCCTGATGGTCTCCTAAAAGGTCGTATCCTCCGATCGTAGCTGATCGTAACCATTCAAGTTAACGTGTCAATTTACACCGACTTCTTTCCGTTCCTCTGAGGATCGCCGGACTCCTCAGCTGATCACAAGAGTTCTCTTTTTTTCTGGACGCCGGAGCATGGCGGATAAATTCAGCACAGATTAACCCGTGCTGGAAAGGAAGTCGGGCACAGACACAAAATAAAACATCCGGCTTCTTTTCAAAATAAAACACGATTGACGAACAAGTGAAAGGTTTTTAGACGTCATTTCGCCCCGATGACACCATGGATGAGGAGATGCTGATTCTAGAAGTCTAGAAGTAGATTTCCTCCTCTGGAAGGACACAATCTACTGCTTATATGTCTATGTGTCTGTCTTTAGAGAGACAACTCGTTATCGCTGGTTCTTGTGATTCCTGCTGTCTGTAATCTGTCACAAAGTTCTCCTCACAAACCGGTCCAGTATGAATCCAGAGACGTCGACATGAACACGTTGATACTGATTTAATGTTGTCGCTGTTTTCAGTCGTTCGCCATGAGGAAACATTACTTCAACAACGCAGAGACGGGCTTCTTCAAAAAGGTGAAGAGGAAGGTCGTCCCCAAGAACCCCATGACAGGTAACAGGACCCGGGTTCTCGTCAGGAACTGAGGACCTTCTAGAGCTTTTCTCTGTCCTACAGGGAGGAGGAGTTTGTCTCTCAGCTCATGTCTTTACTGTGAGACGGATGGATGCAGGTTCTGTAGTGTATTAAGGGAGGCCTCCCAGCATGCACTGGGGCAGAAGACTCCTCCCTCTGACTCTGACGGGGGTCGAACTAAGAGTGATCTTTGTTTTTTCAGACACCAGCATGTTGACAGACATGATGAAGGGAAACCTGACCAACGTCCTGCCCATGATTCTGATTGGTGGATGGATCAACTGGGCGTTCTCGGGCTTCGTCATCAGTGAGTGTTTCAGCTTTGCATGCTGGGTATTCATCTGTGTGTGAGGTCATGTTGTCAGAGTTCACTGCATCACCGCCGAGCAGAGGAAGAGAGACAACGCAGGAGTCAGAGAGGCGCCACCTGCAGGCCAAACCCTGAACTTCGCCTCCTTTGACTCGTGCAGGAAGTAAAAATGTCACTCTCCAGATATGATTCCAGTATTTCCTGATTTATTGCGCCCTCTAGAGTTGGAAACTGAGCGTTGCGTCTCCTCAGTCACTCGTAGATAACAGGTCTGAGCTGAAATAACAGAATCATGAGGCGGTCGGTGAAAAAGGAGAAACATTTGTCAGGTCTGTCCTCAACAACCTTTAGAGAGTTTGTTTGTTTAATGGGGGCGGAGCCTCAAATAACGCTGATGTTCTTGGTCTCATAAATCACTTCAGTTTAGATCCTCTGAAATAGTTCCTCTCAGCTCCTCCTGATGACTGTCGGTGAATCTAAGCTGCTGTTCTTCTGTTCTTCTGTGCAGCGAAGGTCCCGTTCCCGCTGACTCTGAGGTTCAAACCGATGCTGCAGAGAGGGATCGACCTGCTGTCTCTGGACGCCTCCTGGTGAGACTCTGATGAACGCAGACCGGAGTCAGTCTGTGTTTTCACTCAAACACAGACTGACTCTGAGGATCGTCTCTCTGTTCAGTTTCATCCAGCTGTAACCGTCTCTGCTGTTTCAGGGTGAGCTCTGCATCCTGGTATTTCCTCAACGTGTTTGGACTGAGGAGCATGTACAGCCTCATACTGGGACAGGACAACGGTGAGAGACCGGATCCAAAGACCAGAGACCGTATTTTTAACCCCCAAACTTCCAGAATACTTTAAATAAGTCTGTGTTTATTAGGATCAGCTGTGTCGAGATAAATCTCGTCCTCCTGGAGTCAAAGTTCCCAGAAACAGGAACTCTTAATAACTCCTGATTTTTGTGGTGAAGGAGATAAAATGTTAAAACTCAGTGTGACCACAGTGACCCGAACACGCTCTCCTTTATGACCTTGTCTGATCGAAGCTGTTTTCACTCGTAGCTGCGGACCAATCACGGGTCATGCAAGAACAGATGACAGGCGCTGCCATGGCGATGCCCCCTGACCCCAACAAGGCTTTTAAGGTGAGACTTCATCCACAAAGTCAGTCGTGTTTGTTTGTTTGATAGAAATGACTCCAGAAAGTGACTCTGTGTGTTTCAGAGCGAGTGGGAGGCTCTGGAGATCGTGGAACATAAGTGGGCGTTGGAGAACGTGGAGGAGGAGCTGATGTCCCGGGACCTCAACTTTGGGACCTTCTTCAGACAGGACCTGAAATCCACCATGTTTTAGAACCGACAGGAACCCTGAGAGCTGTGGAGCATCTGTGAAAAGGTTCAAGAACTGTAAACTGAAAATCCCAGAGTAAAAAACAGGAGGATGTTGTTTCCCACCGTGTTTACACCTGATGAGTCATTTAAGAACCAAGCATCACTTTTGATTCTTTTTCACTGTTCGAGCGTCGAAGGATCCAGTTCTCGATAACCTCCTCTGGTGATCCGGTTGACTCAGTTAAACCAGCAGACGAATCCTCTCAGGAGGCGTTTAAAGACCCAGTGGGAGGAGCTCTAGACAACAGCAGGGTGAAGACTGTGCGTCCCCCTCTTCACTGACGATCCAGCTGATTGTGTGACCGCTCAATAAAAGGTGCCATGACGACTAACTGGATTCTCTTGTGTTTCACTGAAGCACCAAGAATAACATCGCTTCATTTACCAGTAAACTGGTAAGGACAGGAGATCGCAGAGTCTTAAAAAGTATTCAAAGTTGATAAATCAATTGTGGGAAAATTAAGGCCCTTTAAAAGATATTCAAAAGTCTTCATCGCAATTTTAAGAGGTATAACATTTGACCGGTATTCAAGCTTTGACTCCATATGTATGATAAAAATATCCTATTATAGTATGAAAAAAGAAATGTTCAGAATAGTATCATAAGAAGATCATGATAGTGCATGAAAATCAATGTCATAGTTCCTTTAAAAAATCATAATTAATTATGACTATAAAATAATAGTACAGTTTAAAAAATGTCAGTATAATAAAAATATTATAGTACAAATATAATATTAAAAAAAACGTCATAGACTATACTGTGGCATGTTTTTTCATCCTTAAATCTGAAATTTTGGTCATAGTATACTGATCAAAATGACATAGATTAGGATGTAAAAAATGTCCAATTTTACCATGTAAAGAAAAATAATTTTTTAGTCTGAAAAAAAAAACGTCATAGTATACTATGACCAAAATTTCAGATTTTAGGGTGAAAAAAAAATTCTGATTTAAGGGTTAAACATGCCATAGTACAGTCAGATCAAAATGACATAGATTAGGATGTTCAAAATGTCATATTTTTGCATGAAAAAAAAAATTTATATTTTCCTCCAAAAAAAAAAAAATATAGTAAACTATGACCAAAATTTCAGATTTTCAGGTGAAAAAAAAATTCTGATCTAAGGATGAAAAAACATGCCACAGTATAGTCTGATAAAATTGATATAGATTAGGCTGTTAAAGTTGTCAAATTTTAGTACGTTAAAAAAAAACATATTTTAGTCAGAGTAAAAAACAACATAGTATTCTATGACCAAAATTTCAGATTTTTGGGTGAAAAAAAAATTCTGATTTAAGGATGAAAAGACATGCCATAGTATGGTCTGATCAAAATGACATAGATAAGGATGTTAAAAATGTATTATTTAAGCACTTAAAAAAAACAATTATTTTTGACTCCTTAAAAAAACGACATAGTATACTATGACCAAAATATCACATTTTTGGGTGAAATTTTTTTTTCTGATTTAAGAGTGAAAAAACATGCCATAGTTTAGTCTGATAAAAATGACATTGATTAGGATGTTCAACATGTCATATTTTTGCATGAAAAAAAATATATTTTGTTCCGCAAAAAAAACGTCATAGTATACTATGACCAAAATGTCAGATTTTAGGGTGAAAAAAAAAATTCGGATTTAAGGGTGAAATAACATGCCATAGTACAGTCTGATCAAAATGACATAGATTAGGATGTTCAACATGTCATATTTTTGCATGAAAAAAAATATATTTTGTTCCGCAAAAAAAACGTCATAGTATACTATGACCAAAATGTCAGATTTTAGGGTGAAAAAAATATTCTGATTTAAGGATGTAAAAACATGCCATAGTACAGTCTGATCAAAATTACATAGATTAGGATGTTAAAAATGTCATATTTAACCAAGTGAAAAAGAAAAATGTTTTTAGTCTGAGAAAAAAAACGACATAGTATACTATGACCAAAATGTCAGATTTTTGGGTGAAAAAAAAACATGCCATGGTATAGTCTGATCAAAGTGACATAGATTAGGATGTTCAAAATGTCATATTTAACCAAGTGAAAAAAAAAAATACTCAGATTTTTGGGTGAAAAAAAAATTCTGATTTAAGGGTGAAATAACATGCCATAGTATAGTCTGATCAAAATGATATAGATAAGGGTGCTCAAAATGTCATATTTTTGCATGAAAAAAATATATATATCTTGTTCCGAAAAAAAAATGGCATAGTATACTATGACCAAAATGTCAGATTTTAGGGTGAAAAAAAATTTCTGATTTAAGGATGTAAAAACATGCCATAGTACAGTCTGATCAAAATTACATAGATTAGGATGTTAAAAATGTTATATTATAGCACGTGAAAAAGAAAAATATTTTTACTCCAAGAAAAAAAACGACATAGTATACTATGACCAAAATGTCCGATTTTTGGGTGAAAAATTTTTTCTGATTTAAGGGTGAAAAAACAGGCCATAGTATAGTCTGATCAAAATGATATAGATTAGGGTGTTCAAAATGTCATATTTTTGCATGAAAAAAATATATATATCTTGTTCCGAAAAAAAAAACGTCATAGTATACTATGACCAAAATTTCAGATTTTAGGGTGAAAAAAAAATTCTGATTTAAGGGTTAAACATGCCATAGTACAGTCTGATCAAAATTACATAGATTAGGATGTTCAAAATGTCATATTTAACCAAGTGAAAAAGAAAAATATTTTTAGTCCGAAAAAAAATGACATAGTATACTATGACCAAAATGTCAGATTTTAGGGTGAAAAAAAAATTCTGATTTAAGGATGTAAAAACATGTCATAGTATAGTCTGATCAAAATGATATAGATAAGGATGTTCAGAATGTCATATTTTTGCATGAAAAAAATACATATATTTTGTTCCGAAAAAAAAAGGTCATAGTATACTATGACCAAAATTTCAGATTTTAGGGTGAAAAAAAAATTCTGATTTAAGGATGTAAAAACATGCCATAGTATAGTCTGATCAAAATGACATAGATTAGGATGTTAAAAATGTCATATTTAACCAAGTGAAAAAGAAAAATATTTTTAGTCCAAGAAAAAAAACGACATAGTATACTATGACCAAAATTTCCGATTTTTGGGTGAAAAAAAAAATTCTGATTTAAGGTTGAAAAAACATGCCATAGTATAGTCTGATCAAAATTACATAGACTAGGATGTTCAAAATGTCATATTTAACCAAGTGAAAAAAAAAAACTTTTAGTCCGAAAAAAAAAAACGACATAGTATACTATGACCAAAATTTCCGATTTTAGGGTTGAAAAAAAAATTCTGATTTAAGGATGTAAAAACATGTCATAGTACAGTCTGATCAAAATTACATAGATTAGGATGTTAAAAATGTCATATTATAGCACGTAAAAAAAATTTATGTTTTTAGTCCAAGAAAAAAAACGACATAGTATACTATGACCAAAATGTCAGATTTTTGGGTGAAAAAAAATTTCTGATTTAAGGATGAAAAAACATGCCATAGTACAGTCTGATCAAAATTACATAGATTAGGATGTTCAAAATGTCATATTTAACCAAGTGAAAAAAAAAAACTTTTAGTCCGAAAAAAAAAACGACATAGTATACTATGACCAAAATGTCAGATTTTAGGGTGAAAAAAAAATTCTGATTTAAGGATGTAAAAACATGTCATAGTATAGTCTGATCAAAATGATATAGATTCTGATGTTCAAAATGTCATATTTTTGCATGAAAAAAAAATATATATTTTGTTCCGAAAAAAAAAACGTCATAGTATACTATGACCAAAATTTCAGATTTTAGGGTGAAAAAAAAATCTGATTTAAGGGTGAAAAAACATGCCATAGTATAGTCTGATCAAAATGACATAGATTAGATTGTTCAAGATTTCATATTTTTGCATGAAAAAAATATATATATTTTGTTCCGAAAAAAAAAACGTCATAGTATACTATGACCAAAATTTCAGATTTTTGGGTGAAAAAAAAATTCTGATTTAAGGATGAAAAAACATGCCACGGTATAGTCTGATCAAAATTACATAGATTAGGATGTTCAAAATGTTATATTATAACACGTAAAAAAAATTTATGTTGTTAGTCCAAGAAAAAAAACGACATAGTATACTATGACCAAAATTTCAGATTTTAGGGTGAAAAAAAAATTCTGATTTAAGGATGTAAAAACATGCCATAGTACAGTCTGATCAAAATTACATAGATTAGGATGTTAAAAATGTTATATGATAGCACGTAAAAAAATAATATTTTGACTCCAAGAAAAAAAACGACATAGTATACTATGACCAAAATGTCAGATTATAGTGTGAAAAAAAAATTCTGATTCAAGGATGTAAAAACATGCCATTGTACAGTCTGATCAAAATTACATAGTTTAGGATGTTAAAAATGTAATATTATAGCACGTAAAAAAAATTTATGTTGTTAGTCCAAGAAAAAAAAGAACATAGTATACTATGACCAAAATTTCAGATTTTTTGGTAAAAAAAAAATCCGGATTTAAGGATGTAAAAACATGCCATAGTACAGTCTGATCAAAATGACATAGATGAGGATGTTAAAAATGTTATATCATAGCACGTAAAAAAAAAATTTATGTTGTTAGTCCAAGAAAAAAAACGACATAGTATACTATGACCAAAATTTCAGATTTTTGGGTGAAAAAAAAATTTCTGATTTAGGGATGAAAAAACATGCCATAGTACAGTCTGATCAAAATTACATAGACTAGGATGTTCAAAATGTTATATTATAGCACGTAAAAAAAATTTTTGTTTTTAGTCCAAGAAAAAAAACGACATAGTATACAATGACCAAAATTTCAGATTTTAGGGTGAAAAAAAATTTCTGATTTAAGGATGTAAAAACATACCATAGTACAGTCTGATCAAAATTACATAGATTAGGATGTTAAAAATGTTATATGATAGCACGTAAAAAAATTAATATTTTTACTCCAAGAAAAAAAACGACATAGTATACTATGACCAAAATGTCAGATTTTTGGGTGAAAAAAATATTCTGATTTAAGGATGTAAAAACATGCCATAGTATAGTCTGATCAAAATGATATAGATTAGGATGTTCAAAATGTCATATTTTTGCATTAAAAAATATTTATTTTGTTCCGAAAAAAAAAAACGACATAGTATACTATGACCAAAATGTCAGATTTTAGGGTGAAAAAAATATTCTGAGTCAAGGATGTAAAAACATGCCATTGTACAGTCTGATCAAAATTACATAGATTAGGATGTTAAAAATGTAATATTATAGCACGTAAAAAAAATTTGTTTTTAGTCCAAGAAAAAAAACGACATAGTATACTATGACCAAAATTTCTGATTTTTGGGTGAAAAAAAAACTCTGATTTAAGGATGAAAAAACATGCCACGGTATAGTCTGATCAAAATTACATAGATAAGGTTGTTAAAAATGTCATATTTAACCAAGTGAAAAAGAAAAATATTTTTAGTCCGAGAAAAAAAACGACATAGTATACTATGACCAAAATGTCAGATTTTTGGGTGAAAAAAAAATTCTGATTTAAGGATGTAAAAACATGCCATAGTACAGTCTGATCAAAATTACATAGATTAGGATGTTAAAAAGGTTATATAATAGCACGTAAAAAAATTAATATTTTGACTCCGAGAAAAAAAACGACATAGTATACTATGACCAAAATGTCAGATTATAGGGTGAAAAAAAATTTCTGATTTCAGGGTGAAAAAACATGCCATAGTATAGTCTGATCAAAATGACATAGATTAGGATGTTCAAAATTTCATATGTTTGCATTTAAAAAAAAAATATATTTTGTTCCGAAAAAAAAACGTCATAGTATACTATGACCAAAATTTCAGATTTTAGGGTGAAAAAAAATTCTGATTTAAGGATGTAAAAACATGTCATAGTATAGTCTGATCAAAATGACATAGATTAGGATGTTCAAAATTTCATATTTTTGCATGAAAAAAAAATATATATTTTGTTCCGAAAAAAGAACGTCATAGTATACTATGACCAAAATTTCAGATTTTAGGGTGAAAAAAAAATTCTGATTTAAGGATGTAAAAACATGCCGTAGTACAGTCTGATCAAAATGACATAGATTAGGATGTTAAAAATGTTATATTATAGCACGTAAAAAAATTTATATTTTTAGTCCAAGAAAAAAAAACGACATAGTATACTATGACCAAAATTTCTGATTTTTGGGTGAAAAAAATTTTCTGATTTAAGGATGAAAAAACATGCCATAGTACAGTCTGATCAAAATTACATAGACTAGGATGTTCAAAATGTCATATTTAACCAAGTGAAAAAAAAAAATATTTTTAGTCTGAGAAAAAAACGTCATAGTATACTATGACCAAAATGTCAGATTTTTGGGTGAAAAAAAAATTCTGATTTAAGGGTGTAAAAACATGCAATAGTATAGTCTGATCAAAATGACATAGATAAGGATGTTCAAAATTTCATATTTTTGCATGAAAAAAAAATATATATTTTGTTCCGAAAAAAAAACGTCATAGTATACTATGACCAAAATTTCAGATTTTATGGTGAAAAAAAAATTCTGATTTTAGGATGAAAAAAACATAACATAGTATAGTCTGATCAAAATGACAAAGATTAGGATGTTAAAAATGTTATATTATAGCACATAAAAAAAATTTATATTTTAAGTCTAAGAAAAAAAACGACATAGTATACTATGACCAAAATGTCAGATTTTTGGGTGAAAATTTTTTTCTGATTTAAGGGTGAAAAAACATGCCATAGTACAGTCTGATCAAAATGATATAGATTAAGATGTTCAAAATGTCATATTTTTGCATGAAAAAAATATATATATTTTGTTCCGAAAAAAAAAACGTCATAGTATACTATGACCAAAATTTCAGATTTTAGGGTGAAAAAAAAATTCTGATTTAAGGATGTAAAAACATGCCATAGTACAGTCTGATCAAAATGACATAGATTAGGATGTTCAAAATGTCATATTATAGCACGTAAAAAAAATTTATGTTTTTAGTCCAAGAAAAAAAATGACATAGTATACTATGACCAAAATTTCCGATTTTTGGGTGAAAAAAATTTCTGATTTAAGGATGAAAAAACATGCCATAGTACAGTCTGATCAAAATTACATAGATTAGGATGTTCAAAATGTCATATTTAACCAAGTGAAAAAAAAAAACTTTTAGTCCGAAAAAAAAACCGACATAGTATACTATGACCAAAATGTCAGATTTTAGGGTGAAAAAAAAATTCTGATTTAAGGATGTAAAAACATGTCATAGTATAGTCTGATCAAAATTACATAGATTAGGATGTTAAAAATGTCATATTTAACCAAGTGAAAAAGAAAAATATTTTAAGTCCGAGAAAAAAAACGACATAGTATACTATGACCGAAATGTCAGATTTTTGGGTGAAAATTTTTTTCTGATTTAAGGGTGAAAAAACATGCCATAGTATAGTCTGATCAAAATGATATAGATAAAGATGTTCAAAATGTCATATTTTTGCATGAAAAAAATATATATATTTTGTTCCGAAAAAAAAAAACTTCATAGTATACTATGACCAAAATTTCAGATTTTAGGGTGAAAAAAATATTCTGATTTAAGGATGTAAAAACATGTCATAGTACAGTCTGATCAAAATGATATAGATTCTGATGTTCAAAATGTCATATTTTTGCATGAAAAAAAAATATATATTTTGTTCCGAAAAAAAAAAGGTCATAGTATACTATGACCAAAATTTCAGATTTTAGGGTGAAAAAAAAAATTCTGATTTAAGGATGTAAAAACATGCCATAGTACAGTCTGATCAAAATTACATAGATTAGGATGTTAAAAATGTAATATTATAGCACGTAAAAAAATTAATATTTTTACTCCAAGAAAAAAAACGACATAGTATACTATGACCAAAATTTCCGATTTTTGGGTAAAAAAAAAATTCTGATTTAAGGATGAAAAAACATGCCATAGTACAGTCTGATCAAAATTACATAGATGAGGATGTTCAAAATGTCATATTTAACCAAGTGAAAAAAAAAAAAAATTTAGTCCGAAAAAAAAAACGACATAGTATACTATGACCAAAATTTCAGATTTTAGGGTGAAAAAAAAATTCTGATTTAAGGATGTAAAAACATGTCATAGTACAGTCTGATCAAAATTACATAGATTAGGATGTTAAAAATGTCATATTTAACCAAGTGAAAAAGAAAAATATTTTAAGTCCGAGAAAAAAACGACATAGTATACTATGACCAAAATGTCAGATTTTTGGGTGAAAAACTTTTTCTGATTTAAGGGTGAAAAAACATGTCATAGTACAGTCTGATCAAAATTACAAAGATTAGGATGTTAAAAATGTCATATTTAACCAAGTGAAAAAGAAAAATATTTTAAGTCCGAGAAAAAAAAAACGACATAGTATACTATGACCAAAATGTCAGATTTTTGGGTGAAAAACTTTTTCTGATTTAAGGGTGAAAAAACATGCCATAGTATAGTCTGATCAAAATAACATAGATTAGGATGTTCAAAATGTCATATTTTGGCATGAAAATAATATATATATTTTGTTCCGAAAAAAAAACGTCATAGTATACTATGACCAAAATGTCAGATTTTAGGGTGAAAAAAAATTTCTGATTTAAGGGTGAAAAACATGCCATAGTATAGTCTCAACAAAATGACATAGATTAGGATGTTCAAAATTTCATATTTTTGCATGAAAAAAAAGATATATATTTTGTTCCGAAAAAAAAACGACATAGTATACTATGACAAAATTTTCAGATTTTTGGGTGAAAAAAAAATTCTGATTTAAGGATGAAAAAACATGCCACAGTATCGTCTGATCAAAATGACGTAGATTAGGATGTTCAAAATTTTATATTTTAGCAAGATAAAATAAAATCATTGTCACGTCTGTGGGTGTGGTCGTGTCCTGTGTCTTCTGCTGTGTGTCTCTGTCTGCTAGGTTCCTCCCCAGGTGTCTCAGGTGAACCTGCTTGGTGTGATGAGTGGAAGCGGATATCAGAAGACACAGCTGCACTGACTCTCTGTCAGCCCTCGGGATCGTCACCTGTGCTGCAGACCTCCTAATTGCTGACTGTGTGTCGATCTTGTGCATTTTGGTGTTCTTGAATCCAGGTTTTCCTGTGGCAGGAGGCTGTTGTGTTTCTTTTGTTTGTTTAAATAGTTGGCAGTGAATTTTGTTTTTTGAAAAACTTATTGATAATCAGCCTTGTGCTCGCCTTTAGTTGTTATTTTTTTGTTATCGGCTTTTTGATTGTAAATAAATTACTCGCTTATTCTGATTTCCTGTTTCCCTACTCTTCATTTAGTCTCCCCTGCCCGCTTTGGGTTTATTGTTACTTCCTATCTTCCCCTAACTATTTTCCCGGGTTGTACCAAAAAAAAGACTTCATAGTATACTATGACCAAAATTTCAGATTTTAGGCAAAAAAAAAATCTGATTTAAGGATGAAAAAACATGCCATAGTATAGTCTGATCAAAATGACATAGATTAGGATGTTCAAAACGTCCAATTTGAGCATGTAGAGAAATATCATTTTTTAGTCTGAAAAAAAAACGTCATAGTATACTATGACCAAAACTTCAGATTTTCAGGTGAAAACAAAATTCTGATTTAACGATAAAAAAACATGCCATTGTATGGTCTGATCATAATGACATAGATTAGGATGTTCAAAATGTCATATTTAACCATGTGAAAAAGAAAAATATTTTTAGCCCGAGAAAAAAAACGACATAGTATACTATGACCAAAATGTCAGATTTTAGGGTGAAAAAAAAAATTCTGATTTAAGGATGAAAAAACATGTCATAGTACATAGATAAGGATGGTCAAAATGTCATATTTAACCAAATGAAAAAGAAAAATATTTTTAGTCCGAGAAAAAAACGACATAGTATACTATGACCAAAATGTCAGGTTTTTGGGTGAAAAAAAATTTCTGATTTAAGGGTGAAAAAACATGCCATAGTATAGTCTGATCAAAATGACATAGATAAGGATGTTCAAAACTTCATATTTTTGGCTGAAAAAAATATATATATTTTGTTCCGAAAAAAAAAAACCCACATAGTATACTATGACCAAAATTTCAGATTTTAGGGTGAAAAAAAATTTCTGATTCAAGGATGATAAAACATGCCATAGTACATTCTGATCAAAAAGACATAGATTAGGATGTAAAAAATGTCATATTTTAGCACGAAAAGAAAAAATTATTTTTGAGTCCGAAAAGAAACGTCATAGTATACTCTGACAAAATTTTCAGATTTTTGGGTGAAAAAAATATTCTGATTTAAGGATGAAAAAACATGCCATAGTATAGTCTGATCAAAATGACATAGATAAGGATGTTCAAAATGTTATATTTAACCAAAGGAAAAAGAAAAATATTTTTAGCCCGAGAAAAAAAACGACATAGTATACTATGACCAAAATGTCAGATTTTTGGGTGAAAAAAAAATTCTGATTTAAGGGTGTAAAAACATGCAATAGTATAGTCTGATCAAAATGACATAGATAAGGATGTTCAAAATGTTATATTTAACCAAATGAAAAAGAAAAATATTTTTAGACCGAGAAAAAAACGACATAGTATACTATGACCAAAATGTCAGATTTTTGGGTGAATAAACAATTCTGATTTAAGGGTGTAAAAACATGCAATAGTACAGTCTGATCAAAATGACATAGATTAGGATGTTCAAAATGTTATATTTAACCAAATGAAAAAGAAAAATATTTTTAGTCCGAGAAAAAAACGACATAGTATACTATGACCAAAATGTCAGATTTTTGGGTGAAAAAAAAATTCTGATTTAACGATAAAAAAACATGCCATTGTATGGTCTGATCATAATGACATAGATTAGGATGTTCAAAATGTCATATTTAACCATGTGAAAAAGAAAAATATTTTTAGCCCGAGAAAAAAAACGACATAGTATACTATGACCAAAATGTCAGATTTTAGGGTGAAAAAAAAAATTCTGATTTAAGGATGAAAAAACATGTCATAGTACATAGATAAGGATGGTCAAAATGTCATATTTAACCAAATGAAAAAGAAAAATATTTTTAGTCCGAGAAAAAAACGACATAGTATACTATGACCAAAATGTCAGGTTTTTGGGTGAAAAAAAATTTCTGATTTAAGGGTGAAAAAACATGCCATAGTATAGTCTGATCAAAATGACATAGATAAGGATGTTCAAAACTTCATATTTTTGGCTGAAAAAAATATATATATTTTGTTCCGAAAAAAAAAAACCCACATAGTATACTATGACCAAAATTTCAGATTTTAGGGTGAAAAAAAATTTCTGATTCAAGGATGATAAAACATGCCATAGTACATTCTGATCAAAAAGACATAGATTAGGATGTAAAAAATGTCATATTTTAGCACGAAAAGAAAAAATTATTTTTGAGTCCGAAAAGAAACGTCATAGTATACTCTGACAAAATTTTCAGATTTTTGGGTGAAAAAAATATTCTGATTTAAGGATGAAAAAACATGCCATAGTATAGTCTGATCAAAATGACATAGATAAGGATGTTCAAAATGTTATATTTAACCAAAGGAAAAAGAAAAATATTTTTAGCCCGAGAAAAAAAACGACATAGTATACTATGACCAAAATGTCAGATTTTTGGGTGAAAAAAAAATTCTGATTTAAGGGTGTAAAAACATGCAATAGTATAGTCTGATCAAAATGACATAGATAAGGATGTTCAAAATGTTATATTTAACCAAATGAAAAAGAAAAATATTTTTAGACCGAGAAAAAAACGACATAGTATACTATGACCAAAATGTCAGATTTTTGGGTGAATAAACAATTCTGATTTAAGGGTGTAAAAACATGCAATAGTACAGTCTGATCAAAATGACATAGATTAGGATGTTCAAAATGTTATATTTAACCAAATGAAAAAGAAAAATATTTTTAGTCCGAGAAAAAAACGACATAGTATACTATGACCAAAATGTCAGATTTTTGGGTGAAAAAAAAATTCTGATTTAACGATAAAAAAACATGCCATTGTATGGTCTGATCATAATGACATAGATTAGGATGTTCAAAATGTCATATTTAACCATGTGAAAAAGAAAAATATTTTTAGCCCGAGAAAAAAAACGACATAGTATACTATGACCAAAATGTCAGATTTTAGGGTGAAAAAAAAAATTCTGATTTAAGGATGAAAAAACATGTCATAGTACATAGATAAGGATGGTCAAAATGTCATATTTAACCAAATGAAAAAGAAAAATATTTTTAGTCCGAGAAAAAAACGACATAGTATACTATGACCAAAATGTCAGGTTTTTGGGTGAAAAAAAATTTCTGATTTAAGGGTGAAAAAACATGCCATAGTATAGTCTGATCAAAATGACATTGATAAGGATGTTCAAAACTTCATATTTTTGGCTGAAAAAAATATATATATTTTGTTCCGAAAAAAAAAAACCCACATAGTATACTATGACCAAAATTTCAGATTTTAGGGTGAAAAAAAATTTCTGATTCAAGGATGATAAAACATGCCATAGTACATTCTGATCAAAAAGACATAGATTAGGATGTAAAAAATGACATATTTTAGCACGAAAAGAAAAAAATATTTTTGAGTCCGAAAAGAAACGTCATAGTATACTCTGACAAAATTTTCAGATTTTTGGGTGAAAAAAATATTCTGATTTAAGGATGAAAAAACATGCCATAGTATAGTCTGATCAAAATGACATAGATAAGGATGTTCAAAATGTTATATTTAACCAAAGGAAAAAGAAAAATATTTTTAGCCCGAGAAAAAAAACGACATAGTATACTATGACCAAAATGTCAGATTTTTGGGTGAAAAAAAAATTCTGATTTAAGGGTGTAAAAACATGCAATAGTATAGTCTGATCAAAATGACATAGATAAGGATGTTCAAAATGTTATATTTAACCAAATGAAAAAGAAAAATAGTTTTAGTCCGAGAAAAAAACGACATAGTATACTATGACCAAAATGTCAGATTTTTGGGTGAAAAAAAAATTCTGATTTAAGGGTGTAAAAACTTGCAATAGTATAGTCTGATCAAAATGACATAGATAAGGATGTTCAAAATGTTATATTTAACCAAATGAAAAAGAAAAATATTTTTAGTCCGAGAAAAAAACGACATAGTATACTATGACCAAAATGTCAGATTTTAGGGTGAAAAAAAAATTCTGATTTAAGGGTGTAAAAACATGCAATAGTATAGTCTGATCAAAATGACATAGATTAGGATTTTTAAAATGTTATATTTAAGCACTTGAAATAAAAATATATTTTTGACTCCTTAAAAAAACGACATAGTATACTATGACCAAAATTTCAGATTTTTGGGTGAAAAAAATATTCTGATTTAAGGGTGTAAAAACATGCAATAGTATAGTCTGATCAAAATGACATAGATAAGGATGTTCAAAATGTTATATTTAACCAAAGGAAAAAGAAAAATATTTTTAGCCCGAGAAAAAAAACGACATAGTATACTATGACCAAAATGTCAGATTTTTGGGTGAATAAACAATTCTGATTTAAGGGTGTAAAAACATGCAATAGTATAGTCTGATCAAAATGACATAGATAAGGATGTTCAAAATGTTATATTTAACCAAATGAAAAAGAAAAATATTTTTAGTCCGAGAAAAAAACGACATAGTATACTATGACCAAAATGTCAGATTTTTGGGTGAAAAAAAAATTCTGATTTAAGGGTGTAAAAACATGCAATAGTATAGTCTGATCAAAATGACATAGATAAGGATGTTCAAAATGTTATATTTAACCAAATGAAAAAGAAAAATATTTTTAGTCCGAGAAAAAAACGACATAGTATACTATGACCAAAATGTCAGATTTTTGGGTGAAAAAAAAATTCTGATTTAAGGGTGTAAAAACATGCAATAGTATAGTCTGATCAAAATGACATAGATTAGGATTTTTAAAATGTTATATTTAAGCACTTAAAATAAAAATATATTTTTGACTCCTTAAAAAAACGACATAGTATACTATGACCAAAATTTCAGATTTTTGGGTGAAAAACTTTTTCTGATTTAAGGGTGAAAAAACATGCCATAGTATAGTCCTATCAAAATAACATAGATTAGGATGTTCAAAATGTCATATTTTGGCATGAAAATAATATATATATTTTGTTCCGAAAAAAAAACGTCATAGTATACTATGACCAAAATGTCAGATTTTAGGGTGAAAAAAAATTTCTGATTTAAGGGTGAAAAACATGCCATAGTATAGTCTCAACAAAATGACATAGATTAGGATGTTCAAAATTTCATATTTTTGCATGAAAAAAAAGATATATATTTTGTTCCGAAAAAAAAACGACATAGTATACTATGACAAAATTTTCAGATTTTTGGGTGAAAAAAAAATTCTGATTTAAGGATGAAAAAACATGCCACAGTATCGTCTGATCAAAATGACGTAGATTAGGATGTTCAAAATTTTATATTTTAGCAAGATAAAATAAAATCATTGTCACGTCTGTGGGTGTGGTCGTGTCCTGTGTCTTCTGCTGTGTGTCTCTGTCTGCTAGGTTCCTCCCCAGGTGTCTCAGGTGAACCTGCTTGGTGTGATGAGTGGAAGCGGATATCAGAAGACACAGCTGCACTGACTCTCTGTCAGCCCTCGGGATCGTCACCTGTGCTGCAGACCTCCTAATTGCTGACTGTGTGTCGATCTTGTGCATTTTGGTGTTCTTGAATCCAGGTTTTCCTGTGGCAGGAGGCTGTTGTGTTTCTTTTGTTTGTTTAAATAGTTGGCAGTGAATTTTGTTTTTTGAAAAACTTATTGATAATCAGCCTTGTGCTCGCCTTTAGTTGTTATTTTTTTGTTATCGGCTTTTTGATTGTAAATAAATTACTCGCTTATTCTGATTTCCTGTTTCCCTACTCTTCATTTAGTCTCCCCTGCCCGCTTTGGGTTTATTGTTACTTCCTATCTTCCCCTAACTATTTTCCCGGGTTGTACCAAAAAAAAGACTTCATAGTATACTATGACCAAAATTTCAGATTTTAGGCAAAAAAAAAATCTGATTTAAGGATGAAAAAACATGCCATAGTATAGTCTGATCAAAATGACATAGATTAGGATGTTCAAAACGTCCAATTTGAGCATGTAGAGAAATATCATTTTTTAGTCTGAAAAAAAAACGTCATAGTATACTATGACCAAAACTTCAGATTTTCAGGTGAAAACAAAATTCTGATTTAACGATAAAAAAACATGCCATAGTATAGTCTGATCATAATGACATAGATTAGGATGTTCAAAATGTCATATTTAACCATGTGAAAAAGAAAAATATTTTTAGCCCGAGAAAAAAAACGACATAGTATACTATGACCAAAATGTCAGATTTTAGGGTGAAAAAAAAAATTCTGATTTAAGGATGAAAAAACATGTCATAGTACATAGATAAGGATGGTCAAAATGTCATATTTAACCAAATGAAAAAGAAAAATATTTTTAGTCCGAGAAAAAAACGACATAGTATACTATGACCAAAATGTCAGGTTTTTGGGTGAAAAAAAATTTCTGATTTAAGGGTGAAAAAACATGCCATAGTATAGTCTGATCAAAATGACATAGATAAGGATGTTCAAAACTTCATATTTTTGGCTGAAAAAAATATATATATTTTGTTCCGAAAAAAAAAAACCCACATAGTATACTATGACCAAAATTTCAGATTTTAGGGTGAAAAAAAATTTCTGATTCAAGGATGATAAAACATGCCATAGTACATTCTGATCAAAAAGACATAGATTAGGATGTAAAAAATGTCATATTTTAGCACGAAAAGAAAAAATTATTTTTGAGTCCGAAAAGAAACGTCATAGTATACTCTGACAAAATTTTCAGATTTTTGGGTGAAAAAAATATTCTGATTTAAGGATGAAAAAACATGCCATAGTATAGTCTGATCAAAATGACATAGATAAGGATGTTCAAAATGTTATATTTAACCAAAGGAAAAAGAAAAATATTTTTAGCCCGAGAAAAAAACGACATAGTATACTATGACCAAAATGTCAGATTTTTGGGTGAAAAAAAAATTCTGATTTAAGGGTGTAAAAACATGCAATAGTATAGTCTGATCAAAATGACATAGATAAGGATGTTCAAAATGTTATATTTAACCAAATGAAAAAGAAAAATAGTTTTAGTCCGAGAAAAAAACGACATAGTATACTATGACCAAAATGTCAGATTTTTGGGTGAAAAAAAAATTCTGATTTAAGGGTGTAAAAACTTGCAATAGTATAGTCTGATCAAAATGACATAGATAAGGATGTTCAAAATGTTATATTTAACCAAATGAAAAAGAAAAATATTTTTAGTCCGAGAAAAAAACGACATAGTATACTATGACCAAAATGTCAGATTTTAGGGTGAAAAAAAAATTCTGATTTAAGGGTGTAAAAACATGCAATAGTATAGTCTGATCAAAATGACATAGATTAGGATTTTTAAAATGTTATATTTAAGCACTTGAAATAAAAATATATTTTTGACTCCTTAAAAAAACGACATAGTATACTATGACCAAAATTTCAGATTTTTGGGTGAAAAAAATATTCTGATTTAAGGGTGTAAAAACATGCAATAGTATAGTCTGATCAAAATGACATAGATAAGGATGTTCAAAATGTTATATTTAACCAAAGGAAAAAGAAAAATATTTTTAGCCCGAGAAAAAAAACGACATAGTATACTATGACCAAAATGTCAGATTTTTGGGTGAATAAACAATTCTGATTTAAGGGTGTAAAAACATGCAATAGTATAGTCTGATCAAAATGACATAGATAAGGATGTTCAAAATGTTATATTTAACCAAATGAAAAAGAAAAATATTTTTAGTCCGAGAAAAAAACGACATAGTATACTATGACCAAAATGTCAGATTTTTGGGTGAAAAAAAAATTCTGATTTAAGGGTGTAAAAACATGCAATAGTATAGTCTGATCAAAATGACATAGATTAGGATTTTTAAAATGTTATATTTAAGCACTTAAAATAAAAATATATTTTTGACTCCTTAAAAAAACGACATAGTATACTATGACCAAAATTTCAGATTTTTGGGTGAAAAAAATATTCTGATTTAAGGGTGAAAAAACATGCAATCGTATAGTCTGATCAAAATGACATAGATAAGGATGTTCAAAATGTTATATTTAACCAAATGAAAAAGAAAAATATTTTTAGTCCTAGAAAAAAACGACATAGTATACTATGACCAAAATGTCAGGTTTTTGGGTGAAAAAAAATTTCTGATTTAAGGGTGAAAAAACATGCCATAGTATAGTCTGATCAAAATGACATAGATAAGGATGTTCAAAACTTCATATTTTTGGCTGAAAAAAATATATATATTTTGTTCCGAAAAAAAAAAACCCACATAGTATACTATGACCAAAATTTCAGATTTTAGGGTGAAAAAAAATTTCTGATTCAAGGATGATAAAACATGCCATAGTACATTCTGATCAAAAAGACATAGATTAGGATGTAAAAAATGTCATATTTTAGCACGAAAAGAAAAAAATATTTTTGAGTCCGAAAAGAAACGTCATAGTATACTCTGACAAAATTTTCAGATTTTTGGGTGAAAAAAATATTCTGATTTAAGGATGAAAAAACATGCCATAGTATAGTCTGATCAAAATGACATAGATAAGGATGTTCAAAATGTTATATTTAACCAAAGGAAAAAGAAAAATATTTTTAGCCCGAGAAAAAAAACGACATAGTATACTATGACCAAAATGTCAGATTTTTGGGTGAAAAAAAAATTCTGATTTAAGGGTGTAAAAACATGCAATAGTATAGTCTGATCAAAATGACATAGATAAGGATGTTCAAAATGTTATATTTAACCAAATGAAAAAGAAAAATAGTTTTAGTCCGAGAAAAAAACGACATAGTATACTATGACCAAAATGTCAGATTTTTGGGTGAAAAAAAAATTCTGATTTAAGGGTGTAAAAACTTGCAATAGTATAGTCTGATCAAAATGACATAGATAAGGATGTTCAAAATGTTATATTTAACCAAATGAAAAAGAAAAATATTTTTAGTCCGAGAAAAAAACGACATAGTATACTATGACCAAAATGTCAGATTTTTGGGTGAAAAAAAAATTCTGATTTAAGGGTGTAAAAACATGCAATAGTATAGTCTGATCAAAATGACATAGATTAGGATTTTTAAAATGTTATATTTAAGCACTTAAAATAAAAATATATTTTTGACTCCTTAAAAAAACGACATAGTATACTATGACCAAAATTTCAGATTTTTGGGTGAAAAAAATATTCTGATTTAAGGGTGAAAAAACATGCCATAGTATAGTCTGATCAAAATGACATAGATAAGGATGTTCAAAATGTTATATTTAACCAAATGAAAAAGAAAAATATTTTTAGTCCTAGAAAAAAACGACATAGTATACTATGACCAAAATGTCAGATTTTTGGGTGAAAAAAAAATTCTGATTTAAGGGTGTAAAAACATGCAATAGTATAGTCTGATCAAAATGACATAGATTAGGATTTTAAAAATGTTATATTTAAGCACTTAAAATAAAAATATATTTTTGACTCCTTAAAAAAACGACATAGTATACTATGACCAAAATGTAAGATTTTTGGGTGAAAAAAAAAAATTCTGATTTAAGGATAAAAAAACATGCCATAGAATAGTCTGATAAAAATGACATAGATTAGGCTGTTAAAGATGTCAAATTTTAGAACGTTAAAAAAAAACATTATAGTCCGAGAAAAAAACGACATAGTATACTATGACCAAAATTTCAGATTTTTGGGTGAAAAAAAAATTTCTGATTTAAGGATGAAAAAACATGCCATAGTACAGTCTGATAAAAAATGACATAGATTAGGATGTAAAAAATGTCATATTTTAGCACGAAAAGAAAAAAATATTTTTGAGTCCGAAAAGAAACGTCAAAGTATACTATGACAAAATTTTCAGATTTTTGGGTGAAAAAAAATTTCTGATTTAAGGATGGAAAAACATGCCATAGTACAGTCTGATCAAAAAGACATACATTAGGCTGTTAAAGATATCAAATTGTAGAATGTTAAAAAAAAAAATATTTTAGTCAGAGAGAAAAACGACATAGTATACTATGACAAAATTTTCAGATTTTTGGGTGAAAAAAAAATTCTGATTTAAGGATGAAAAAACATGCCACAGTATCGTCTGATCAAAATGACGTAGATTAGGATGTTCAAAATTTCATATTTTAGCAAGATAAAATAAAATCATTGTCACGTCTGTGGGTGTGGTCGTGTCCTGTGTCTTCTGCTGTGTGTCTCTGTCTGCTAGGTTCCTCCCCAGGTGTCTTAGGTGAACCTGCTTGGTGTGATGAGTGGAAGCGGATATCAGAAGACACAGCTGCACTGACTCTCTGTCAGCCCTCGGGATCGTCACCTGTGCTGCAGACCTCCCGATTGTTGACTGTGTGTTGATCTTGTGCCTTTTGGTGTTCTTGAATCCAGGTTTTCCTGTGGCAGGAGGCTGTTGTGTTTCTTTTGTTTGTTTAAATAGTTGGCACTGAATTTTGTTTTTTGAATAACTTATTGATAATCAGCCTTGTGCTCGCCTTTAGTTGTTATTTTTTTGTTATCGGCTTTTTGATTGTAAATAAATTACTCGCTTATTCTGATTTCCTGTTTCCTACTCTTCATTTAGTCTCCCCTGCCCGGTTTGGGTTTATTGTTACTTCCCATCTTCCCCTAACTATTTTCCTGGGTTGTACCAATCACATTTTAGTCATAAAAAAAAACCCCGTCATAGTATACCATGACCAAAATATCAGATTTTAGGGTCTTACGCCCCACCCAAAGGCAGCCCTATGGGGCTAACAACTATCCTCATTTTTTTACCCACTGAGTTAACAAAACACCTTCAAACGTTTTACAAGTGATTTTTTGTGACCAAATAACAAAATTATGAACTAAACACAACAAACCCACAACACAAATGAGCGGCAGCAGTTCCCCCACCAACTACCTCTGCGTCTTTAAAGTCTCAGCACCAGGTGAGTCTGATTGTCACTCAGTGACTTCACCTGTGCAGTTATGAGGAGACAAAAGGGGAAAAACACACACACACACACACACACACACACACACACACACAGCCGTAAAAGTCTGATTTAAAAAGTCTTAGTCTACTATGACCAAAATTTCAGATTTAAGGATGAAAAAAAATTAAGGATGAAAAAACATGCCATAGCAGAGTCTGATTAAAATGTCATGGTACAGTATGACAAAAATTTTAAATTTTAGTGTGAAAAAAGATTTCATATTTAAGGATGAAAATAAATTCGAATTTTTGTATGAAAATGTCTTATAGTTTTAAATTCTAAATTCTAGTGTGAGAAAAAAAACATATTTAAGTTTTAAGAAAAGGTTCATATTTTAGTATGAAAAAATAATCAAAGTATAGTATGTAAAAATTTCATATTTTTCCTTCTCGGTTTACCTCATTTCTCATGAATTGTACATCTTGAATTAAAGATGTGTTGAAATGAGGTCTTTAAAGTTGTTTGACAGGTTTTTAAAAAGGTGTTGATTCCTGAATATTCCCTGAAGACTGATGAAACGACTGTGACGAAGAACACGGGGAGGAAACAGTGAAAACTCGAACCACTCGTCTGCTCATGTTAATAATCATCCTTTTATTCATATCAAAAGATTGAAAGTACAATAAAATATTTTCATCTGATATTTGACAGGGAAGACCAAAGAAAGAAATCACCCCAAGCGTCCCTCCTGCTCCCCCAGGAATGGTAATATTAATAATAACAATAATAATAATAATAATAATAATACATTTCTTACAGTAGAAAAATACTGTACACAGCGAGCTGCTTTAAGGTCAGTGAGAGCTCGTCTGCTTCTCCGCCTCGTCTCTCTGCGCTCCTGCTGATCTGTCCAATCATCTTCTGCCTGAATACAAATTTAATCTATAAATATGAAAAATAAGCGTCTCAATGTCCCGCACCATCAGAATCACTCAGGAGGAGCAGAAGCTCTGTCGTCATTAAAAAATAAATACAGCAGAAGAACGACCAAAATATACAAAGAAAGAAGCTCTCATCAGTTAGGTTTCCCCTCTGATTACCCATAATCCCCTGTGTGCAGCCGTTTGGTCCACTGTAACGGGTTTCTGTCGAGTTAAGGTTACTGATGAACAAATTAAGGGTCAAAACTCAATAATCTGACGGAGGTTATTCTGGAGTCGACGCTCTGATGCTCCTATGTGCCTCTTAGACCTGCAGTCCTCTTTAAGTAACTCGGACTTTTACTGCGTTTACTTCGAGTCATTCCTTAAAAAAATCTGTTTTTAATTTGTTTAAAATAAATTTAATGAATTCAAATCAGTGAAGCGGAGACAGAACTGAGTAATCACTGATAAAAACTGTTAAAAATGTAAAAAATTAAGTCTCATTTCGGTCATTTTCAACTCGAGAAGTTGAATAAACACGTCCTCATTAAAGCTCCTGTGAAGAACTTTTGGTTTGGCGCCCCCCTGTGTTCAAAGTGATCTCTGATTGGCTGATTCGGTCCTGTAAATGTTTAACTTTCCTGCTCCCGTCTTTAAGAGTCGAGTCGCTCTCTGTGTTTGACCGTTTCTAATCTAAACTCAGTCTAAAATAATCCTGATGTTAGTAAAATGACAAACTCTCAGTTTGTTTGTGAAGGTCCAAAGGAAGTAAAGTCAGAGTCTGAGCGCTGAGCTGGAACGACCCAGTCTGATCTAAACCCAGAGTCCTCGTACCCCGGACATCGAGAGTCGACTTAAGATAAATATCAAACAGTGTTTTATTATTTTAGGATTTACTCTGAGGAGTCGGATCAGTTTCAGCATCCGAACCTTCACTGGGTCAGAGAACATCGGGCTAACATCAGGCTGACGTCAGGCTAATATCAGGCTAACATCAGGCTAACGTCAGGCTAACGTCAGGCTAACGTCAGGCTAACATCAGGCTAATGTCAGGCTTATGTCAGGTGAACGTCAGGCTAACGTCAGGCTAACATCGTGGCTAACATCAGGCTAACGTCAGGCTAACGTCAAGCTAACATCAGGCTAATGTCAGGCGAACGTCAGGCTAGCGTCAGGCTAACATCGTGGCTAACGTCAGGCTAACATCAGGCTAACATCAGGCTAACTTCAGGCTAATATCAGGCTAACATTGGGCTAACGTCAGGCTAATGTCAGGCTAACATCAGGCTAACATCGGGCTAACAACGGGCTAACATCGGGCTAACGTCAGGCTAACATCGGGCTAACATCGGGCTAACGTCAGGCTAATGTCGTGGCTAACATCGGGCTAACGTCAGGCTAACATCAGGCTAACGTCAGGCTAACATCGTGGCTAACGTCAGGCTAACATCAGGCTAACGTCAGGGCTAACATCGGGCTAACGTCAGGCTAACATCGTGGCTAACGTCAGGCTAACATCAGGCTAACGTCAGGGCTAACATCAGGCTAACGTCAGGCTAACGTCAGGGCTAACGTCAGGCTAACATAGTGGCGTCGTCTTTTTTTAAGTTATTTCCTATTTTCAATATTTCACGTCTGCTGGGATTAGGTTTGGATCTGAAGCTCCCTGAGTGTGGAGTGTCCACGCCTGCTGTGCCAATAAAGTTTTCACCCCTTAAAAAAGCTCCAGAGCGGCGGTCTGAGATGAAGTTTGAAGTTACCGATGAAATGAAAACGTTCAAGTGGCGAAAAACGTAAAACGAACAAAAAAACGAGAAGCGAAGGCGTCCTGATGAAGTCAAACGGTTACCATAGAGGGTCATTCAGTCCGTTTCCATGGTGACGTAGGAGGCGGCACCAAGCTCGGCCTCGTCTTCTTTGCAGGGGGTGATATCATTGGCGGGCTGAGTGGAGGAGGCGGGGCTTGTGTTGGGGGCGGGCAGAGTGGGTTTTCTGATCTTGTCTTGTCGGTGGTAGAACAGGACGTAGGCGGCGTTGGTCTGTGGGAGGAGACACGAGGAGAGGGGCGGGGTTAACTCGGAGACAGCGGACGCTCTGTTTACAGACGGGAACCAGAAAACTTACTGACCACGATCTGGTCCGCTCGGGCGTAGGTCACCTTGCTGTCGTCAAAGTAATACCACTGACCGTTGTCCTTGTTGCAGGCGTAGCTGGTGTCTGCACACACACACACACACACACACGCGCACACACACACACACACACACACACACACACACACAGATCAGCGACCATAAAAAACCAGATTCTAGAGTCAGACCTTCATCAGAATAAACCGGCGGGACCTACAGTGTCCATCTCTGAGTCCTCCGTAGTGATTGGACACAGCGATGAGGTCATAGCGGCTCGGAGGCTCCCCATTGGACAGATTTTTCCTCAGGAGGAAGCCGGAGAAGTCCAGATCTCTGAGAGACCAAAAAAAACACAAATGAAGAAGTTCAGGGTCAGTGTCCAGGTGTGTGTGTGTGTGTGTGCGTGTGTGCGTGTGTGTGTGTGTGTGTGTGTGTGCGTGTGTGTACCTGAGGGGGAAGTCCACGATGCTGTCCAGCTTCTCTCGGGTGAACTTGGTGTAGGAGAACCTCTTGAGGTGGATGATGAGGACCTCCGGCAGAGACCAGAGATCCAGCTTCTTGGTGGCCAGCTGGTGCTTCTTACAAACCGGACAGTACCTGCAAACACACACACACACACACACACACACACAGAACATCTCTATAAACCTGTGTGAACTGGATTTGGGTCAGTACCAGTCGCTGTGTCCCACGAGGACATCTGCTAACTGACACTGTGACCCCCAATCTCCACCTTCATCCTGATCGTCTCCTAAAAGGTCGTATCCTCCGATCGTAGCTGATCGTAACCATTCAAGTTAACGTGTCAATTTACACCGACTTCTTTCCGTTCCTCTGAGGATCGCCGGACTCCTCAGCTGATCACAAGAGTTCTATTTTTTCTGGACGCCGGAGCATGGCGGATAAATTCAGCACAGATTAACCCGTGCTGGAAAGGAAGTCGGACACAGACACAAAATAAAACATCCGGCTTCTTTTCAAAATAAAACACTCCGTGTTTCAGGAGGATCGTATTTCACACCATGCAAACGGGCGGAGACGAACAAGTGAAAGGTTTTTAGACGTCATTTCACCCCGATGACACCATGGATGAGGAGATGCTGATTCTAGAAGTCTAGAAGTAGATTTCCTCCTCTGGAAGGACACAATCTACTGCTTATATGTCTATGTGTCTGTCTTTAGAGAGACGACTCGTTATCGTGTGATTGAACGTGAATCTGCAGGTTCTTGTGAGTTCTCTTGATTACCGCTGTCTGTAATCCACCACGAAGTTCGCCTCACAAACGGATCCAGTAGGAATTGGCGGACAGCAAAAATCAACCGCCATTCCTGATGTGACGGAAATCCCGGGTAACGTCTGTGTGTGTTTGTGTTTGTGTGTGTGTGTGTGTGTGTGTTACCATGGGTTCTCCTCCTCCAGCGTCTCCACGGTGGTGAAGAGCTCGATACACTCCTGCAGCTGCACCGTGGTCTGCTGCTGAGGAACCTCCATGCTGCTGTGCTTCACGTATTTCTGCACACACACACACACACACACACACACACACACACACACACACACACACACACACACACACACACACACACACACACACACACACACACACACACACACACACACACACACACACACACACACACACACACACACACACACACACACGCACACACACACACACACACACACACACACACACACACACACACACACACACACACACACACACACACACACACACAGACACACACACACACACACACACACACACACACACACAGACACACAGACACACACACACACACACACACAGGTTTTGTTGTGTCATAAATTTGAGGTATTGATGAATTAAACTCTCTCGTTGACGGCGTTCAGACCGACCTCCGCCTCGTTCTCGTTGTAGAACCTCTTCTTCATCTCGGGGTCCCAGTCGATCGCCACGTACGGCTGAGCTGCAGGAAGGGGCGGAGTTAGAGAAAGTCAGCTCAGCTCCACGCGTGTGTGTGTGTGTGTGTGTGGGCGCGTGTGTGTGCACGTGTGTGTGTGTGCGCGCTCACAGCTGAAGGACACGGCGCTCCCTCCCTCTCCCGTCCCTCTCTCGGTCGTCCCGTTGGAGTTGACCGCCTGGATGGTGAACAGGCTCTTCCTCCTCTTACGACACGCCCTCCTCTTTGCTGGCTGCTCATTGGTTGGCAGGCTGGGAGAACACGCCTCCTCCTGCTTGTCTTCCTCTTTTTCTTCTTCTGTGGTGTCACGGGGCTGGGGAGGATCCGTGGCTGCTGGTTCTGAGTCAGCGTTGGCGGTGGCGCCGCTCGAGTTCGTACGGGGGTTGGAGTCTTCGGTTCTGTCTGTGGCGTCGGCGCTGCAGGGCGGCTCGGTCTGGTTCTGGGACCCGTTGTTGGTCTCTGAGTCGCCGTCGGCCACTAAAGGCTGCGTGTGGTTCTGGTCGGGTTGGGGCGTGGCTGTAGCACAGTCGTCTGATTGGCTGTTGGATGACGAGTCGCAGCAGGAGGGGTGGGCCTGAGAGGGTCCGGCTTTCTCCGTGTCCTCCTGCTCCTCCTCTGAGCGAACAAAGAAGCGACCAATCAGAGGAGAGCTCAAACAGCTGGAAGTCAAAAAAGGGGAGGGGCTTACCGTCACTGATGCCGTTGGTTTGAGTCTTATATAACTCCTCTTCATCGTCGTCTTCATCCTCCTCCTCCTCCTCCTCCAGCTCCTCAGAGGGGTCAGGAGGTCGAACGTAACGCCTGAACATGAAGAACATCGAGAAACCGACAGATGGTCATCAGAACCTTCAGACGAGTTTAAAACAGAGAAGAAGAAGAAGAAGAGGAGGAGGTGCTCACGCCAGTCTCTGCAGGAACAGGGTGTAGAGCGCCTCCCGGCTGCAGCTGCTGCGCGGCACGTTGAGCAGCAGAGGATGTCCGAAGAGCGTGGCGCCGTAGGAGCTGCTGCCCGAGCCGTAGTCTCTGTAGTGAGAGCGCTCCCTCAGGTAGAGCGCCAGCAGCACCTGCTCCTCCTGCTGCTCCTCCAACACGCTCAGCTCGTACCTGAAACACAAACACAGCAGCGGTGAGGAGTGAGCGCGCTCAGACCGACGACCAACAGCTGATCGGCTGATCCGAGGTGTCCTACACAAAGATGTCGTCCCGGTCCAGGATGCAGCTCAGAGATTCGTCTGCGTTGTAGATTTTATAGAAACGATGGTTGAAGACGTCGGCGACCACCATCTGGAACAAAGAGACAAGATCCGGTTTAGTCCAGAACCGGGTCCAGAACCAGAACCAGGAAACCCGTCAGAACCTCCGAGGATATCTGAGGAAATCTGACCTGAGACGGAGGAACGCTGGTCATCTCTGACAGAGCCAAGCACAGGTCCGAGACTTTTCCTGCTTTGGGGACGACGACCCGGTGCTGAGGACACACACACACACACACACACACACACACACACAGGTGAGGGTTAAAGGGATATTCCAGTGTTAAATTAATGTAGGGTCAAACCCACCGTAACACCGAGTTAGACCCCCCCTCCAAAGATGAATGTTGTCGACCGCTTCCTTCTCTAGTTATACCAACTTTAGTAACTACAGAATAGTAATACAGAGAGCCACGCCCCCAACCAAAACGCCACTCTATAGCCACAAATAATGCTCAGAACAGCACCTAACTTCATCAACAGGACATCCTCACTCTCTCTTTATTTGGTCAACTCACCTACTCTCTTCCAGCAGACGATTGTTTGTAGAGAGACCTCAGGCCAGTCCATGA